CTGGAGGGCCAATAGGAGACTGTCTGACACTGAAGAAACATGTCTTTTTGAGATAAATGAGATATGGGTCACTCCAAGGTACAGGCAACCTCCAATATTTTAAGCTTTGCTGTGAAAATACCCTCAGCAGCTTGGCAATGATTATGGACAGAATCCTCAAACAGGTTAGCTTGTGGCTGCAGATGAAAACATGCAAAAAGGGCATCAAAGCCTGCCAGGAATTCTGGTCTCAAGTCTTTAAGGCCATCTCTAGGAAGCTGCTCTGTGTCTTGATGCCTCTGGGCGCCTGGAAACCAAATGCAAAATTCTAGCCAGACTCTGACTTTAAGCCTTAGCAGATCTACAACATGCTTAAGTGGTTACCCACAGCTTGTACATGACCAATGTCACCACTACCAATCCAGCCTTCAGAAAATCACCGACAAAGATACAGCAGCAATGTGCCTCAAGGTCGAACAGCACAAACATGCCCAGCTACATTGAATAGACTAAGGCCTAAAGTTCGCACCCCCATGTTCACTATATCTGTTATGTTTGGGGAATATCGACAGCAATGAGAAACATCAACGAGCTCCAGACACAATCAAAACACTGACACAACATCTAGATTCAGTTTTCTTACAATTTTATGATATTTTGTAATGTAGCAAGACATAAAAATAATAAAACAAAACCAAAAATAATAGAATTCACTATCTTCCACAGCACTAAAGTTGCCTGAATCTCATAATGAAACACAACACGCTACATAGCATGAAAGGGCCTCATGCAAAAGTTGTCTCTCTTTCACACTCTAGTTTGTGTTCCTCCTTCTTTTCCTCTCCTTTTAAGTATATGCATGCGTTGCACTCTCGCATTTTTTTTTAAAATCTCTCCCTTTCCGAATTGTCTTTTTTACCCCTCACTCTCCCCTAGTTTGTGCTGCTATATCTTTCATTTGTGTGGTTTGTGTTTCTCTCTCTCATTCTCCCCAGTTTTCTCTTCAGATCCTAAGAATTTTCAGGTGATTTTGTTTTTCATGTCACAACACTATCATCCTCAGAACTGGCAATAGAGTGGTATTTTCAAATAATGGAGAAACCAACAGTTTATTTACAAGCCACAGTACCATAGGTACACAAGCCCAATATACAAGCCACAGTACCATAGATACACAAGCCCAATATACAAGGTACTTCTTGCCCTGTAGCCAATCCAATGTATTCTGCCCAACATACCAAGGTTTGAGAATCCAACTTCTCATAGAGACATTTAAGGGAAACTTAGGTGAGTACATTATGTGCAGTTCTGGTCATCACACTATAGGAAGGAGGAGGCTTTGAAGAGGGTGCAGTAAGAGGTTTACCAGGATGTTGCCTGGATTGGAGCACATTAGCTATAAGGAGAGGTTTGACAGACTTGGGTTGTTTTCACAAGAGAATCAGAGACTGAGGGGGTGACTTGATAGAACTATATGCAATTATGAGAAGCATGGATAGGATGGATAGTCAGATTCTCTTTCCCAAGTTGGAAATGTCAAATACTAGGGGGCATAAGTTTAAGGTGAGGGGGGAAAGAGTTTAAAGGAGATGTGCAAGGCAAGTGTTTTCATGCAGAGGGTGGCCTTTTCTGGAATGCATTGCCGGGAGAGATGTTAGAAGTAGATTATGACAGCAATGTTTAAGAGGCATTTAGACAGACATGAACAGGCAAGGAGTCGGGGAATATGGATCATGTGCAGACAGATGGGATTAGAATGGTGTCATAGTTGGTACAGACATGGTGGGCTGAAGGGCCTTTTCTTGCATTGTACTATTTATGTACACGGGGGCAAAAGGAATAGGGTATTTGAGATGGTGGGAAAAATATAAAAAGCAGCACTGATGTACTGGGCTAAATGGCCTGTTTGTGTGCTATAAACTTGTAATGGTTCTGCCACTCTGTGACCTCATTCCACTGCAAGCATCTGTCTACATAATTAGCTTAATTATAGGAGATAAGGATACATCAGTTAAATGAATAACTAGGTGCAATTAATCACAGAATGTGCACGTAACAGGATGATGGTAACATTATTGGGTGAATCATGGCCTGATATTAGAGAAATAACCTCAGGCACATCTGTACCTTAATCAGTGTAGATGTAGTTTCTATAGAATCTTGCACTTTAGCATTGATTTTGTCTGATTGTGTAGTTGCTGTGTGAATGTTAACATTGCCTATTGTGGTAATAACATAAGCTTGCAGGATACAAAACAGCAGTACTTTTTAAACTGGCCTAACCCAAAGCTGTTGCTATTGCCCAGAATGAAGGGTCCCTGCTCCCAAAACCTCCAGTGTGGGGAGGGTCACCAAACTACAACAAAGAACTGAATAAGAAAATAAATCCCTCTGAATGAAATTAATGTCATTTATATGTTGGATTCTTGATTTTCACAATAATTCCATACAAGAGGAAAACTCACTTGTAACTACAGGTACTCTGTATGGCCATTCTTCCAAGCTCTGCAAAGTAGCAATGACAGTAAGAAAACATTTGGGAAGTATATTGAAATAACATGGAATTCCACATTGCCATCGATCTGCATCACTAAAGTAAAATATGCCACATTTGGTTTAGTTACCATGTTTTGGAGTTTTGATATGACATGTCACAGATTGCCTGTGTTACATTTATTGTTAAATGTAGTAGTATTTGGAAATTATCCAAAATCTTCCAGTGAGTCTCACAATCAGCGGTAAGGAAACTACTGGCAAAAAATTCTAAAAGAGAGGTCTAATCTGCACTTGGAGAGGCAAGGTTTGATTAGGGATAGTCAGCCTGGCTTTTCAGAGGGGTCATGCCCAACAAATTTGATGTTTCTTTTTGAGATAGCGTGTAGATGATGGGAGTTTAGTTGGTGAAGTTTGTGTTGATTTCAGAAAAGCCTTCAACAAAGTCTTCCATGTGGAGCTGGTTAAGAAGGTGAAAGCACAGCGGATCCAGTGTAACATGGCTAGCTGGATCCAAAACTAGCTTAGTGGAAGGTATATAGAAGGTGGTGGTAGAAATCTCTGGGTGACTGGAGGCCAGTGTCAAGTGGTGCACCATCCCTCATTGATTATGTATTATATACACACACATATAATCATTATGTACACACACACACACAATAGAAAATGTTGCAGGGGGAGGGTCATGGGTTGAAAAATATGTTTACAATTGACACAAAGACTGGCTAGGTGGTTGCCGGTGAGGAAGAAGATCCAAGGTTGCAGGATGTAGACAGATTGGTCAGATGTACAGATAGAATTTAACCTGATAAATGTGAGGTGAAGGACTTTGGAAGAAGTAACAGCACAAGGGAATTCTCAATGAATGTCAGGAGACACAGGAACAGGATCTTGGAGCACTTGTCCATAGGTCCCTGAATGTAGCAGGACAGGTTAAATAGGGTGGTTAAGAAGGCAGATGGGACATTTACCTATATCAGTTGTGAGATTGACTATAACAGCAGGAAGGTTATCTTGCAGCAGTACAAAATTTTGGTTACACCACAGCTGCAGTACTATGTGCAGTCCTCGTCACTGCACTATAGGAAGGATATGATTGTGCTGGAGGTGGTGCAGAGGAGATTCACCAGGTTGTTGCCTGGGATGGAGTGGTTTAGCTGTGAGGAGAGGCTGGATAAACTCAGGTTGTTTTCTTTAGAGCAGAGAAGGCCAAGGGGAGACCTGACTGAAGTGTGTAAGGTTATGAGGGGCATGCACAATGTGGTTAGGAAGCACCTGTTCCCCTTAGTTGAAGGGGAGCAAGGGAGCAACATTCTAAGGTGAAAGGCAGGGGGTTTAGAGGGGGTTTGAGGACATTTCTCCCCCACCCACAGTATGGTGGGAATCTGGAGGATAGTTGAGGTGGGAACCTCACAACCTTTGAAAAGTACTTGGCTGAGACTTGAAATATCATAATATTCATAGCTATGAGCTAGGTGTTGGAAAGTGAGACTAGTGTACATTTAGAGTATTTTTTGTTGGTGCAGACTTGATGGGTTGAATGGCTTTTTCTATGCTGTATGATTCTATGATTTTACAGCTCAAATATTCAGTGCTAATTTTCACACCTTGAAGGCAACAATTATAAGATGTCATTTAAACTTCAAGACTTGTCCACATATTATTTGCACATCTGTCAGTTTTGTTCTAGTTATAGTTATCTTTCCAGTCAATGAACAGTTGTCAACAAGGGAAACTGCAAATATTATTTCAAATGTAAATATCTTATGCTGTCATATTTCATTTTGGAACTACTGGCATATTTATTAACAAACAAAAAATAATTCCAAACTCATTAACTGGTTTATTGGTCTCAAGTGTTTTTTTTATTATACTCTGGGATCATGTATTTGTGTTCAATTAATAATCTTGTGCTTCCTGCCATTCTTTAAGACAATGTTCTCATATCATTAGTGAAAACTTCAGAATTTAAACCATGATCAAAATATCAGCATAGTTCTCTTCTTGTGGGATAAAACAATCTATTTTCACCAGGAAACCATGCGTGTCTTGTATCAGTATTATACATACCAACTGAGGTGAACAATTACAATTACTGTCACTGTAAGCATTTTCATTTATATCTATAGGAGTTGCAGACAAATTTACCACGCAAGATTACTGTGCAAATAGTTTCTTCCTTCTGTGAAGCCAACATTAAATATCCATTGTTGGTAAGGTGTTGCACACTATGACATTTCTAATGTATATGTTAAAGGTTTGGCTCTGATGAAAAGACAAGTTGTTGTCAAGCCCAACTTTGCAGATTTATTTTTAATGCCATTTACTTGCTGCAACTTTCCCTCTTCAACCATGTATTGCTAGCCTATCTGATCCAAGGTGCACACAATGAAACAATGTAAACTGAGGTTACAGTGAATATAAAGCAGTATTTTTAAAGGATGCTGAAAAAAAGTAAAGCGTGAAACATAGTCAAATAGTTGGAAACAGATAGGTCTTTTATGACAATCATTAACACTAAATTGATGAATTTGTATGGAAAACTTTATTTGATAATAAAAATAGCATTCACAGACTTCTTTTTGTAGCTACATATACATTGTGATCTGTTTCAGGGATTGGGGCAGGGAAGGGAAGAAGCTATACGGATAATATTAACATCTACATACTATACTGCACTACACTAAAGTTATGTGTATAGCCACATGGGTCAAGCTACGAACAATGTAGTATTTATATATGCATAGTGTTTTATAAAAAGATTTGCCCATATATTGCTTTCAATCTACACAGCAGAACATTAGGCCTATAGCACATCGCAAGAATTAATGCTTAAAGAACACAGACTGCATACAAGTGTTTCATAATATACAGGCAGGTTCACCATCAAGAAATAGAATTTCAAAACCAACAAAAACTTAATAATTACTGATAGAGTATTCCATTTGAAAACAGTTTTATATACCTGAATCATTTTACTTTAAAATATGTCCCATAAATCAGTTTGTTCAATTTTTGAAATATAAACACTATCACATTCCTCACAACTAGTTTTGCCATAGTTTCACTCTTTTTACAAGAAAGGCAACATTTCCAACAGGCTCTAATAATTACAATTTAAACTTTGTACACAAGATGGTTAGTCATACATTTGTACAGTACCATGGCAACAACAGTGATAAAACTTGCAATGCTTACTTTAGTGTTGTAATGGAAATGTGAACAGTATACATATACACACTGAAGCACTGAAAGCAGTTCACTTAGTGGTTCAACAATAATGAAGAGCTTCTTCATGGCTCAGCAAGGCAGCTTTTTCCTCTGTTTTCAAGCAGTGCCACAGCAGACCTTCACCACACAGTCCCCCTTTGCAATTGGCTTAGAAACAATCAAATTAATTTACACGACTATTCCACTTCAAATCTTGAATATACCACCTGTTTACAATTGTTGCTGAAGTTAGCAGTCTCTTTAGCCATTTTCTATTAATTTAAACACACTCTCCTTCATGAGAATGTCAACATCATGAGTCTTATTACTCCAGTTTAGAAGCTTGCTCTTCTTTTGTTTGATCAGCAACTTACCAGCTTAAAACTATACCACATCCATCAATTCTTAGATGTTTCAGAAAGCGTCCAAACCTTTTGTGTGATATAGAAAAATACTTCATATTAAAACGGCATAGTTTTCGACAAAGTGCAATTATTTTGTGCTAATGTCGCCTGGTTTCATTACAATATTGGAGACACCTCAAAGACTAACAAAATATCTGGCAAGTTATCTAAAATCAATAATACAATTAAGGCTTACATTTCACATGTAATGTCAATACTATTTTCCTTTTGAGCAATCCCTAGCTTTTGTTGGGTCAGGCACATTTTACTGTTAACATTTTCCTGACATATGTACAGTGTCATTTTTGTTTATATTCTTCTTTTTACATTAATAGGCCTCTAGTCTTTTCAAGGTGACAAGCAATGATCAACTTTGGATCTGTTCAGAGAACCTATGTTGCCCTTTTAGACAGAACTTGACTTGTCCAGTGCATAATCCTTCATTTAGATGCTGAGATCAGTGCTGCATTCTCGAATAGCCTTCCTTCTAGGCTGTGGGGATTGCCTAGAACTTCTGATAAAGTCATTTTTCTCCATGTTATGTTCATCTCTGTGCCTCGATCTTTCATCAACTTTGCTTCTTCTTTCAGGTGATCTGTCTCTTTTTGTGTCCAGTGACCTATGCCTCCTTCTCTCAGGTGACCGCTCTCTTCTTCTCTCAGCTGTTGCTTCTTTCCTCCTGTAAGGTGACCTTTCTCTTGTTCTGTCAGGTGACCTTTCCCTCCTCCTGTCAGGTAAGTCTTGCCATTTCCCTTCAGGTGACCTTTTTCTCCTTTCGTACGGTCCCTCTTTGTGTCTGCCAAGAGATCTTTCATTCCACTCCATGCTTTGAGCAGTCATCCGTGATATTTCCCTACCTCTTTCAAGAGACCTTTGATGGTATCCATTTTCTGCCTTTCTTTCTTGACGTTGTTTCCTCTCAGGTGATCTGTCCTTCCTCCTTGCCGGTCCATTTTCTTTCCTTTTGGAAGTACCATTCCAGGTTGTAGTGTGGTGTTCCTTGGTTGGTCTGCTGTGTTCTTTTCTGCCTATTGGCTCTTCTTGTTCACTAATCCTCCTTTCCCTGTGCTGTGATGATATGTGAATTTCTGGTGGATAGTTGGGTTCCAGTGATGGATGAGTTCGTCTTTCTGATAAATATTTCACTTCCGGTACATTTTGTGAACCTGTTGTGGAACTGCCCCTGTCATTGTTTGGGTCTGGAAGATAACAGAAAAAAAATAAGAGTACTTCATAAGAGTAACACTTTTGAACACAGTCCATGCTATTAAAAAGCACCTACTAATGCTCCTGTTCCTTACAATTTTATCCTTGAACCCATTCTTCTGTAAGCATTTCCTATTTGACCTTTCATTGTGAATAACTTGGTAATTAGCTGCAAGCACTCTATTAAATTAAAAACCTTAAATTCAACTCCAGTTGACTGCAATGTCATTTAATATATTAAATGTCATAAACATTTCAGCATTTTCAGTGTAGAATATGCTAATATGAAAAACATGTTTGCATAAGATGATACTTAAAGGAACATTTGCTTTGCACAACAGTATTAATAGCTAGTTCTACATCCAGCATAGTACAAAATGGATGACAAATAGGGCATGCTGTTGTACGCTGAAGTTGCACAATGGGATTCTACACCGGATAACCTTTCACTCTCTTGCTTATCAAGAATCTATTTACCTCTGCCTTAAAATTATTCAAAGATTCCACTTCCACTTTATTCAAGGAGCGTTCCAAAGATTATTAGACCTCAGAAATAAAATTCCCCTCACCTTGTCTTAAACGATGATACCTTAAAAATGTGATAGCATATACAATAATACTATTGGGTACTGGTCTCCACAGCTGTTCCTATTTCATACTGGACATTGATTCACAAAAGTACTAGTGCTTAATTCCATGAAAGTCACCTACAGAGTACATCTATTCTACATGTAGAGATTATAATGTACACAAATCATAAGCACCAGATAAAAGCTCAAGTCTGTAACTCTAAAGAGAAAAAGTGACATGACACACTTCCCTTTCCATGTAATTGTGTTACAAGTGAAACAGACTGTAATAAATTCAAAGTCCCTAGGGGATTCTATGCTCAATGATTCAAAGTTGACCTTGCATTGGTTGCTGTTACATTTTATCTAAGCGTGAGTTAGAATTAGAATGTTATAGCACTTGAGCAGCAGCATACAATGAACAATGGAGGTTTGTATTAGCTGCAATGGCACTGAGTGGAAAGTGTGGCCAATGCCCCATTCCAACTGCTCAAATGTAGTGTCCTTCATGGTCCTACAATACTGAGAATGATCCAAATCTACTGGATTATACCCTTTAAATTCAAACTACAGAGAAATCTACCCAAACATTATAGCAAGGCTTTAATCAAGCAAGAGCCTTAGGCTTTCATCATCTGTTTTCAACCTTAACTCAAGATTTTTCTTTCCTCATTTTCTATTCTCAACATTGAGTACTCAGTCCAGAAGCTTGTGGATAATCAGAGTTCTAATAGTAAAGAAACCGTCAATAATGTTCTCTAATTTGAACACATAAACCTATATAGACTGGTAATCTTAATATTAAAATGCAAACTGAAAAAGCTTCATGCTGAGAAATACTAAAAAGAGAATATTTATGTTCAGGTTATATTTCAACAATTTACAAGAATTTGAACACTCCTAAAAAGATGAAATATCTGCAAACAGTTCTGATTTTCACCTTGCAATTTTGCTCTCTTCTGATTAGAGTCAATATTTTTTGTACGATCACAATTGCACTTGTAATTGTACATTATCCTGACAGATTGAAAGCTATGGATTTTTTTAGAACAGCTGATTTAACAAAAAGCATCAGGTCATTTACCTCATACAATGTCTAATCACTCAAAATATCCTTATGAACCTTTATTCTTACAGTATATGGAGACAGAAATATGGTTATAGATCGTGAATGCTGCTCAGGAAGAAAGTGCTGGAATTTGTTGGGCCAACAGGGATCTAGTACAATGGAAAGTCAGAGGTGCCTGATGGAATCAATTCAGGCACTTAAGTGGTTACCATCGAACCTTCCCCATGATTGAAGTCACCAGTGACAGAAACCCAACCTACCAGAAGGTGCTGGCCAATCATAGTTGGAGTGGTGACAGCAAAGCATGAGCCAGAGGGCTGTGAGACTGCAGACAAAGAATAGTGATGGGGTGGGGTGATCTTCATGGGTGAAGGGACAGGGGATTGGCTTTCAGTACCCTTTCCTGATCAGCCAGATGTGGGACCTCCCTTCAACAGTTTGCTGAGGATTTGAGAAAGTCATGCCATGCCTGTTAAATCCCTGAGGCACTGCTAAAATGGGTGGCCTCAGGGAAAATGGAGGCCAATTGGTTCACTCATGAGCTTCTCACCACTACCTCCCACCACCAGAAGACTGACTGATTAAGTGGGCCTGGTGCCACTTTTCTGTGACTACAAGCTGCATTAAATCCAGCTCAGTGTGCTTATTCAATGAAATAACTTTAACAAGACATAAGATTAAGGCACAACATTAATTTTATACAGACCTGACCGAACATTAAAGGTTGCACATATTCACTTAAGTATCTTTGCAAAAGTAGTTAAGTCTTACTTACATATGTGCAATTTTAAGTTAGCAAGCCAAACTTGAGATTTAAATATAATAACTCTGTCCTCACCAACCACAGATCTGTTGGCATAGAGCTGCTTGAAGACCTGATTTTTTTTTAAATGAAGTGGACAGATAACACTCAGATTCCATCATAACTTGTTTCAACCATTCTTCCAAGTTTGAACGTAACCTGAAAGAACATTGAGGATTGCTCACACCATCAAATAGATATCATATTTGTATCAGACGTATCCAAACTGCCCTACTGCATGGTTCGTTCAGTCTTCCATAGTTTAGTGATGTTTGGAGCTGAAGTAAAATGATTGTTGCTACCTAAATTGGGAAATAGGCATGGAATACATTTTAATCAGGATTGTTGCTGATCTATGATTTAGCAATTTATGTTTTTAAAGCAGGGAATTGTTTGAAAATAATTCATAAGGATTTAATGTTTGCAGAACAACTTAGTTGCAGCTTAAAATAATGTAAAAATAACAGCTGTATACGCAACTTGAATAGTCAGTCACATCGATATTTCTGATTGAATTTAGTTTGAGTTGACCAATGCTAAATTGCCTAAACAAAAGCAGTGTGATGCTGTAGTTATCTTGACCTCGGCTTTAAAATAAAGTGAAGCTAGGTTTTACGTACACTACAACATGATGTCAATGAAAGAACATTCATTTCCACTATCTTGTACACCTATATATACACATATATAAAAACAAAGTATTGCTCAGTGAAATGAAACCCGATTACCGCTATAATTTAGCAATATTGCTACATTGCAAGTCACATGACATGCCAGCAAGGCTCCTGATTATTTTGAGCTTACATTTTATAACATGATGATTTTTGGTGTATGCAATACACAGTAATAGATTTGGAGATTCTTTCGGAAACTGCAGCATCCTGCAGCTTTTACAATTTAGCACTGGTCGTACTGGAAACTGCTTTTGTGATAACTATAACAGTAGACTACAAAAGTAATAAATTTTATGCACTCCGGCCTTTGTAAAACCAAAGGGGGCAAAACTGAACCTTTATCAGCGTTGGCTTTACTCTCTACTTCATAACATTGGCTGATGAAATGTTTTGCATTATAACATATTCCTTTATTTATCACAAATAAGGGTTGCCCCATAATACTGAACTGCACATACAGGAACTTGCATACAACAGCTTCATAATTCTTTAAAAAGCAACTAGAATTTTTTTAAAGACTTATTTTCATTTTTTCTTCTCTTAAAATATCTTCCTGCAATAGAGAGGGGGAAACACACTAAATGTTGTATGAATGGGCTGAGTGTATGAGATAAAAGATTCTTGCCAGCGATACGAGACAAATCAGAGTGAGGGACAAGAAACTGGACATTACCAGAAGAGTCCATTAATGAAAAGACACACTAAAAAAAAGTGTATTTGATAGGAAAAAGGAATTCATGAAACTTAAAGGATTTGCCTTTCTTTCAAGATGATAAACACCGTTTTACACTTAGCTGGAATTGGGTACAAGTTGAGAGGCAGAAATAGGTCAGGAATTCAAATTAATATAAATATTATATATATATTTTAAAAACTATGTTTCTTCACTTTGCAGATTAGAATGTCTCATTTTCATGCTGCACGTGTAGAGATTAGTTACTGAATGCAGCATTTGCATCACAGTGGCTGCTGATAAATGAGCATCTAATTATTGCATGCTAGACCAGACAGAAGAGAACATGCCTCCAAGATAATGTTACACAGAAGAATATAATTGAACTCAGAAATAATATCTACACCATTTCTTTGTCTATCAAAAAGATTGAAAGAAATAAATGGATTTTGAAAATAACAATGAATTAACTTATTGCACAAGCCTATGGTAAATTAAATTTTCAGTAGTAATGGGGAACTATTAAAGTAGGGACAAAAACAAAGTTGCTGGAAAAGCTCAGCAGGTCTGGCAGCATCTGTGAAGGAGAAAACAGAGTTAACATTTCGGGTCTGGTGACCCTTCCTCAGTTCTGAGGACAGCATCTGCAGTTCTTTTGGTTTTTATTAACGTGGGGAAGCTGGTGGGATTTGGTGCATTTGTGGCAAAGGGTGGGGTGGAAGGAGAGACTGTATTAAGTAAAGCACACCCACCAATTCACTGGTTTCAACCTTCTACTCAAGCGGATCAAGGGGTAGGAAGCCAATCCATTCTTGGGGTAGCATTTTAAGTAAGTCAAAAAGTCAGGAGACATCAGATGTTGCATATATTGCAGGTTTTTTTTTCCAACCTGTGGCTGACCAGCAGCTGCAGCAAGGGGGAGGATACATATGGAATATTCCTCCTTTCCACATTGGTTGCTACTTTTCATCCTCAAGCAGCTTGACCATCGAACCCTGTCTTCCAGAGTGACCTCATTCTTCATGCCATCCCCATCCACCCCCCCACCTCGGGATTGGACTCTACCAACCCCAAGATAGTAACCTTCCATAATCTCCCAGGGTTGAGGATTGGGCAGGGTTTGTAATTAAATCCACATTCATACCCCTCAATAAACCCCATCATCTCCAGGTTGGCAATCAGACCTCCTTGTTCCCTGCCTGACTG